TGGCACGGTATGCTAGAAGACGTCGGTTCGAATCCGGCCGGATCGAGGGAATTTTTTCTGAGTGTTCGATCTTTGTATTAATAAATAGAACAAACTAGTGGAGTAATTTCACAAAAAATAATTGAATATCAATCAAAAAAAATTTAAAATACAGTGAATGGCGACATCTCTCGTCAGGACTGGCAACTGTAAAGATATGTAAGTGGGTGATAAAACCTTCATAGATTTCTCATAGATGGCGCTACGACTAAAAAGTCGTTGAAAAAACCAAATACAAAGACACGACGCATGCACATAGAAAAATTCGTGAGGTCCACTGGTTCGTTCCGTGGCTTAGTTGGTATAGCGTTTGGCACGGTATGCTAGAAGACGTCGGTTCGAATCCGGCCGGATCGAGGGAATTTTTTCTGAGTGTTCGATCTTTGTATTAATAAATAGAACAAACTAGTGGAGTAATTTCACAAAAAATAATTGAATATCAATCAATAAAAATTTAAAATACAGTGAATGGCGACATCTCTCGTCAGGACTGGTAACTGTAAAGATATGTAACTGGGTGTTAAAACTTTCATAGATTTCTCATAGATGGCGCTACGACTAAAAAGTCGAAAAAATTAAACACAAAGATACGACGCATGCACATAGAAAAATTCGTGAGGTCCGCTGGTTCGTTCCGTGGCTTAGTTGGTATAGCGTCTGCCACGGTATGCTAGAAGACGTCGGTTCGAATTCGGCCGGATCGAGGGAATTTTTTCTGAGTGTTCGATCTTTGTATTAATAAATATAAAGATTTTTGTAACTTAAATTTGGTACTTACCAACTTTAGGTTACATGAAAGTAGTGCTAGAAGTACCTAGCTCCACAGCTGGATATGCAGAGTTTCGTTTTAACGTAGCACATTCTTCACAACAGAAAAAGCAGAAAGAAACCAGAGACGATTTTTGCGCGCAATTTTTCGACACTCGTAATCTGCGTAAACTAAACGTGTCACATCATGCCATAAGAACGCATTTGATGGTAATGCAGGGTCTGGTGAACTGGTAGCCGTTTTTTTGCACTAACTCCTGTTTACATACTAAATCACATGACATTTCGTGAGAAACTAGAACGTATGCGCGATATGCGCAATACGCAAGGTCGACTGATGATCTACCAATCACGCGCTCGATACGTTACTCCCCACTGTCCCTATTCGTACCCTATCACCAAATAGATGTAAAATGCATATTTTCTGCGCATAGGTCATTGTTCAAATGGTTGTTGGTACCTGTGGCACGTGTAGTGCAAGTCAATGACCTTTGGATCAAGCGTGGTAAGCGCAATTATATAGAAAATGAGAATTTACGAAATTTTTGTTTTCGATTTATTTTTTTAGTTATTTGGGTTCAATTTCGGATATAGAATGACCTCTGTAAATATGGTGAAAACACACATTTTATATACCATTGGCATCAGCTAATGTTTCTGATTCCAACGGTATATATTACTGAGAATGACTCAAAAGTGTCGCCTATCCGATTTTGCCTTTCATGCGTCGATATAAATACGTAAGTGCCCACAGAAAAACAACTACAACTTATTTTTGGACACAATTATGTGTAGCAAATACTTAATAGGAAATAATAATTTGTTGCCAATGTTGGGTACGATTTCAATAAAAATTACTCATGTAAAAATAGAAGTCCCGGACTTGTAGAAGGGAATGTCCACGTTATTCTTTAGTTTAACTCCCTCAATTCCTTTCACTGGTAATAAGTTATAGGCCTTGCCTCTATTTTTCAGAATAGTTAATATAACAATAACACAACAATGATTAATTAACTCCGCTAATAAGCACACTATGTTTCACTTAAGCACCAAAATTGAGTACTTGACGTCGTTTGTGCAAGTAAATTGAGGCTAATAGAGATTCTAATAATATTAACAAACAAAATAATCATCTCGATAGCAAACAATAAATAAACTTTTCTTACAAAATTATAGTAACAACATAATAATCTCACTTTTGATGGGAACCGCTGTTAAAATAATGACTGCCGACGGTTAAATATTACTAACAATTTTACTGCTATTTATTAAAACACCAAAGTAAATTCGGTGTAAAAAATTTGTAATTAATGAGATCCCTGGATCGTTAGAGAAAAAAATTTCCTAAAATTTTAATAATTTGTACTAAGAAAGTGTGTGACGACTATAAGTATGGCAAAAATGGCGTAAGACTCCAAGGCGTTTAAACGGCATTCTTCATTTCTTGCTTTACGCAAGTCTTGAAGGCTTCCCAACCTTCATTCTTGGCGTATGACTGTAACAAAAGAAATGTATTACGGATATCACTCCTGGGTAATAAGGTGATCAAAGACATGACAAAATTATAAGAAAAACTTTAAAACAGTAGGCGTTGATGCTATCCAGGGGGAGCTACCGCATATGAAAAGAAAAAAAACATGAATTATGTATGGGTACAATATATGGGTAATTTTTACAAAATCTCGAAAATCTTGTCCTTTAGATTTATAAAAAAGTATTTAATTCTTGCCATAAAATCTCTTAATTTCTACTAATGCCTACAGAAAACATTGATTAGTCTATTTAAATAAAAGTAATAATATATAAAAATGATTCCAATTCCAATGATCCAAAATCATTCCGCACTATGTGGCAAGTTCCATAATCAAACACGTTATTTTTTGTTAAACAAAAATAACCTTTAAATTTTAAACATTCGATCGAATAAAATATGCTTTTACAATAATAAAGCTATCCTGTGGTAAAAACACGATAAATAAATTTAAAAATGTATTATTATTATTCATGTCCCAACCAAAAACATCATTCCCTCACACCTTTACCTGCACTCGATTTGTGAATGCATTTTTAATCTTTGGTAAATGCATTTTGTAAATTTTTTAAAGTTAGCAACACTCCAAACATTTCGGAATGATGAAAATCAGGTTGTTTGTGTAAAAAGTTTCTACTACAAAAAGATTTACTTTAAAATTCTAAAATTTACATTATTGACAGTCATTCCCTAGCATTTCCCTCATATCATACAAAAAGAAGTTTGATTTTATTTATTAATTATTCACTCCGACGAGTTATTGGTAGAAGTAAGCTTATTAAGTCTAAAATTAAGTTTATATCGCTATCTTTTCTTGATTTATTTTGATTTCGTCATTCCCTCACCCTCAAAAATGTTCTAACTGCACTATACATTTTCTTAAAAGTCACTAATTTTGGGGACCACTATATCATCAAATACTATTTACATGAGATATCCGAAGCACGAATTTCGAAATTTCATGAGAGCTGCCTGTATATAAACTACATTACAAATATATACTCCCGGACACATAGTTCCGGAGACTTATGTCCTTAGCTTAACTAATGTTTGATTGATCAATAACTAATTCAAGTTTGAAACTGGTGTACCAAACGTCATTTACAAAATGTTTTGTTGAAAATTTGAACTTGCGAAACCGGGAAAAACTTTTTCTTCAATGATAATAATATTTTTTTATTCTAGCACTTGGAAAATCAAAATGCAATATGGCTTGATTTATGTGTCCGGGAGTGTGTTTATTTTTTTCCTTGCGATTTTTATGTTAATATAACATAAAAAATACGTGTTTTCAATTATTTTTGGGATGGTGGGTGTTGAAATTGTTTTATGTTGCCTAAGTGGTTTAAAGTCGCTCGGTCCAAATGCCGCCGACAAGTCATATGTATTCTGCTAAAATTTTAACATTTCTTTCAATAGATTTTTGACGACTGAACATTGACCTAGTAACAAATGGACGTCGGGTTCGTGCTAAAAAGTGTCCGAACCCATAGTGCGTTAAAGTCGCATACAGAGCGTCAATCGCCTAGCAGTCTTCGTTTATTCGACTGACAGCGCGGTTGTCAATTATGCAGTACAAAATATAATAATAACTTGTAAAAATTACTGCAGTAAAGTGTAAAAACAGGATTTTGTATCATATTTTCAGTAAAGAAATATATTGTGTTATCATAGTTCTCATTTAAAAGTGTTATTTTGTATAGTTGTATAGTATTTAATTTATATATAAATGAATCGTAAATATAAATTACAAAAGTACACGAAATAATGAAATAGCTAACTGTCCTTTTTCTACACATTGCATACGCAAAAGATGGAAAGAGACCCATTACGTCAATTTCAAGAAGCTTATATAAACTTCTTGGTCATTTTCAAATGTTCGAACCATAAGCGATTGAAATATTTAGAACAAAGAAACTATAGAGTCGTGTTGATTTTAATATTATTTTTAAAATAACTTTTTATTAAACGTTAGCAATAACTAACAAAATATTGTTGTACTCGTTTTACGGTTAGGGATTACCTATCAGAAGTCAGAAAATACATTTGCCCGAAATAACGTTGGCTCGAATTTTCATAATGTCAAATGTATTTTTCTATGAATATTACAAAACAAAAGCTAATTTTGGGTTTATGCGAAGCATCAAAATTACTTGGAAGCGTAACGGTTTTATCACAAATCGGTTTTCGGATTACGGATATTTGAGTTTACGTTTAGTTGGAATATCGGTACATTTCTTCTTCTTATAGTACACGCTTATTTTCACATTTGTAGTAATATTTCTATGTATGTATCCGCCCAACTCTTTATTATTTCTTGAAGTGAATTTGTACAAAATTGGACATAAAAAATAATTGATATTTACAATAAAGGTTGCTCCATTAACTCTTGTGTTCAAGTAATTTTCAGTCGAAGCTAAATATGGTGCATTTTGTTAAGCTTCCAGTAGAAACTGAATATGGTGTTTATGGGCCCTTTAAATTGTTGTTTAAATTTAAATCAAATGTATTAGTTTTTTTAATTTTCTTTACATGTCACTACGTTTGTATAGGTTAACTTCGGACATTTTATTCGTGGTTTTTGTATTAGACCCGACGTCCATTTGTTGGTAGGTCAATGCGACTACATGTCAAATTTCACAATCCAAGATGTCGTTCATTAGTTTACGTATCGTTACTTCGATTCTATTCATATCTATGTTTGTTCAAGTGATACGTGAAAAAAAATTTGGATAGGACTTCGATCGAACGACTACGTAGTCGTAGTAGTAAGTTACGTAACTGCAACGATATTTTGATAGCTTATAGCGCACTACGAGTCCCCAGACAGCCACAGCCATAGTCGGTAATGTGAAGAAAAAAGGCCCGAAGGTTTTATTTGGAGCATTATAGTCAAGTTAGCCTGCATGCAATCATAACATTAACGTACAAGTGTAATGAATAAAATATAACTATTTTGATGCCGGTGTTACATATAAAAAGTACCTTAAAGCCCCGATGCAAGCGGTCCTTCATGATGGCGATAAACTCCTTGTAACTGAGCAGGCCGTCGCCGTCCGCGTCGAAGATGGCAAACACGGTGTTGACGAGGTGATTCGACTGGGAGATCCCGGTGCAGATCTTCACTGCGCGGTGGAACTCATCTGCCAAAAGCATGTTCTATTTAAGTACAACCACACCAGTTACGTGGCCTCAAACTAAAACATTTCTTGTACTATACTACTAGAGTACTAGAGCAACACCCAAAGTATATAAAACGGCACATTATAGCGCATTGTAATTCACTAGTCCCAATTAGATTAGGCCTTCAAATGAGCGAGTCGCGTCCTACTATATATTTCTAATTTGTGGTCGCGTCTATATTGTGTTAGCTAGGGACCCCTCCCCGCGCTTCTCCCGTAACTCGTTCGGCGCCCGTGCAGCTAACAGATTCATGAACAAAACCGGTTTTGACTCGTAGTTTTGTTAATAAATTAGTAAATTACACTTCACTAAAAACATCTACGTTAATATTTCCTTCTTGATCACAAGTTCACAACATCTTATTACTAGTGTCAAATATGGCGGATCTTGCGCTCCTATATCTTTTATTTTTTTAGAGTCAATTGAATTACTTCTAATAAAATATGATAATGGAATGATATTTATAACAGTGATACGTTATTTTGATTGTATATTTTTATTTAACTTAACAATCATAAACATTTAAACATGTTAATTCACATAGCATTATTCGAAATAGTAACTGCGTAAGAACAATAGTTGTTTAATGTTGAAGTCAAAGAACTTTTATTTTACGAAAATAGATAATCTTGTTTAATATATTTGAAGTAATGTACTTTAAATATGTATTAAATATTATATTAATTTGTTTTCACACTACACACACCTGTATGTGTATATTGCAAAGATTATGTAAGTATTTATTCGATATAAGAGTACACACTGCAATAACACTATACACACTCATGCTATAAGAATTTACTTAGTTTATTTTATTTTCTGTTTCGGGACGCTTACGTCCGTCACTCTCACTCACTCGGCTAGGGCCCATTGAAAACCAGCGTCACAACCTAGCCTTGGTTGTGACTTTAGCTGAATGGGATCCTTTTGTACAAGCCACAGCCGCACACATGTCAGTATAGTATTATGTAACTTGTTGTTGAAATGTTTTACGCTGTTCTTTGTGTTATTTCTGTTTTAGTTATATTAGTCTTTGTTTTTGTGTTTTTTTTTATAATGTGGCGTTACAATAAACGGTTTCTATTTCTATTATTCCAAAGACCAGAAAAACTTTCAGTTTTCCTAAAGGTCCTTTACACTCACTAGTGTTGTGCTGGTATACTTTATTTAGGTTTACGATTCCCAGTAGTTCTGTGGAACTAATACCTAAGCATACATGGAAGACTCGATCATACCACGACGAAATGATTATGAATAAATAATTTTTAGGAAAATTAGCAGAATTTAACCCAAGTATGGTAACCGTTCGTCCACAGAGGCAGTAAAAGTTACCTCAAACTAATGACTCCATAGACTTTTCAAATGGGTACATGTCCACTTCATATAGACAATGAAATCAAGAATGACCAGTTTTTAAAAACATTGGTATATGTAAAGTACTTTTTGAATACAGCGGTTTTCTTGTAAAATTTCGACGTAAGTTTGTTTTTTTCTATAGTCAAAAGTTTTAGAAATCGTGGTTTCACATCATATAGTAATCAGTGTATATCCTCAATTTTACTATATATTTTTGTGATTGATTCAACATTTTCACTGTTATGCTCAACCACAGCCATTTGAGGTTGTATCGACGGCAAAAAAGCCGCTTAAGAACCAAGAACATGATCGACAGCAGGCTTGTATTCATTAGGTCTGCTGACGTTCCGTAGCCCGGTTGGGAACGCGATATCTTAGGGCCAAAATGTTTCTTGTTCAAACCCAGCCGAATTGAAGGATTTTATCTTTTAGTTGTTCTATCTTTGTATCAATTATAAAAAACTAGTGAGTACCCTCCCAAAAAATATACAAATAAATACTGGGGAATCGAACCCAGGAACGTCACATTGAGCTCAAACCGTTAAGACTCCAAGGTCGTCTAATAATAATGTAACGTGTTAATTTAAACCATTCTCGCTAATAATTAGAGGCGGTTGAATTTGTTGGCAACGTGTCGCCTTCAGTACAAAGGCACGTATCGTACGCTGGTTCTTGAAATTAAGTCCCTGACCGACCGGCTTGCATTGCCGAGGAATACCGCCTCACATATTTAAAATAATAAATAAATCATTATACAGTAATAATTTACTTTTTTTTCTTTTCACACACTCATAACACTAGGGAAACCCTGTATCGCAGATGCCATGGACATACATATAGACAACCATAAATTACAACCAAACTCACGATCATGTAGGCCATACAAATATTTCTCCCGGCACGGGAATCAAACCCGGGACTTTTGCATGGCAGTCCGGCATGGTAACCGTTCGGCCAAGGGGCAAGTAATAAATAAAAATATTTTAGGTACTAAATAGGAGTGCAAATTGTATTAGTAGATTTAAAGCTTGACTTAACGCCTAGGTCTGTATGTACATACTATTTAATGTCTTGAATTAACTGAATGTACACAAAAGCAATAAAGTTACAGGCTGTTTGCCTGCAGTATATATAGTAGTTATATATATATAGTAGTTATTATCATTCATTCGCATCCAGATTCAGTGCAATCTATTTTATAAGATGTTTCATAATTATCCATATAAAATACATTATTATTATACTACCCTGATAGGTCTAAAAGCGCTATCTAAATAGGAATAAGTTTTGAGAAAATCGACATTTTGTAAATTGTATTTTCGCACCTTAAAAATATATATTTTTTTTAAACTTATTTATACGTATTTTTGACAAATAGATTTAGTGACATACCTAAATTTTCCATAAATTATACCTTATTATAAAGGTTTCAAAAATTGAGATATAAAAATATTTCTCAGTGGTTTTTTAAATGGTTTAAGTTAGATAGTCTATTTCTATTATACTATTTAGATGCGAAGTTATTATAGCTATTGAATGGTGTAAAAAGAAGACTACGTGTTAGATAAAGATATGGAAAGACAACGTGAGTCTAGATTCCACTCAATTATGATTTAATATATTATGATAATTAAGGTACTTTCCCTCGGTGTGGCATAGCCGTGGCCTGTATATAGGCCTTACCCACGCCGTACCTGGGTAGCCTAATGGATTGATCTGTGTTCCCTCAAGCAGAGGTGCAAACCTTGAGTTCAAACCTCTGACTTACTCAAAATTCATGTGCGAAATATAATATGAAATTTCTCATGAGCTTTTTGGTGGAGGACAACGTCGTGATGAAACCTGCACGTCGAAGAAGGTTCACAACCCTAGGAAAACGTGTCAAGTCCCCAACGCCTCGCCTGAGAGGACCCGTGCCCAGCAGTGGGACGTGTAATGGGTTGATGACGATTTAAACGCCTTAATCGACTTAGCGCGCAAAAGCACGAATACGCTTGCATTTTAATTCGCTTCAATTGCGCAAAGTGTACAACAAAAAACAGTATACAATCAAAAATAAAAATTACTTTATCTATACTCCGTAACATTTCGGTGGAACGGAACGCATTTTGCCTTGGCAACCGGCAGAAAAAAAAAAGAAAAATTTAGTTTGATTAGAATGACATATGTCAAACTTTATGAACTAGTGATGAGTCACGATCAGTCGAGAATCAACGTTAAAATATATCGAATGAACTGTGAAATATTGAAATAAGTGTTATTATATCACGGTAATAACTGAAGTTATCTCAATAATTTATTTAAAGATTCGGTGCACCACTACTTGTAAATTTTCAGTTTTATAACCATAAAACATAAATGAGCATACCATACTATTATTTATAGTATATTAGTATATACATATTAGTATAGACTCGATACAATATAGAAAAGTTAGTTTCTCTACATTCACCCGGCCGGGGATCGAACCCGGGACCTCAGAGATGGCGACAGCATGAAAACCTGTGAACAAGCCCCTCGATCAAGGAGATCATCAAACTAATTGTTTACCTTATGTTTGTATGTGTTACCTTGTATAATAAGTCCTTCTACTCCTAAGGTTGTTCGTTACGAAAAAAATAAAACAATATTTCATTTCATTTATTGTTTTGTCGTGTTAAATACGTATATTTTATAGAACGCTGCTACAAATTTTCGTCGTCTCAATTTTGTCGTCTTGTCATTCAAGTTAAATTATGCGGAGTATAGTAATATAGCAAGCAATGTAACGTTTGTATGGAACAATCGTAGCAGCGCAGCGATGCACACATTAACATAATCTCGCTCGGCACTAGAGTTGCACAGCGTGTGTCGCACGCTGAGTTTGTCAAAGAATCGAATCGTTCGTCGAAAAATGACATTACATAGTAGACGTGTTTTTTGTCTATGGTTGTTGGAACAAGAGTGCTTCGAATTCCGAATTGTTCAATATTTCATTTCGATTTCGTAATCATAATCGAGACACCAATCCGCGATGCTGGTATAAAAATACATCGAGTGTCACACACACTCAACATAGCCCCGCACTATGAAAACCTTGTGTCGCGGATGCCATGGACACACACCTATACAACCACAAATTATTTACAAATATTTCTCCCGGCCCGGGAATCGAACCTGGGACCTCTGTGTGGCATGGTAACAGCATGGTAATGGTGATTTAAAAAAATCCATTGGTGTTTAACAAAAATTAATTATATATACTGGTTTTCAGTAATTGGCAAAAACGTGGTTGATCTCTAGACACTTTTAATGTGTGCACTATATTTAACAAAAGTTATTTCAATATAGCACGAGCATACTGTAACGAATACCTTAATTGTTGATACAAAGATACCTGTGGTCTAACCCATAGGTCCCCAACCTTTTCATCTCACCGCGCACTTAGTCCAGTTAAAAAAAATTCACAAAAAACAATTGAAAACCCCTTTTTTACATTAACGTAACACAAAAAATCACAAGGAAAAAAATACACATATATATTATGTAGCATAGCCACAGTGCTGAAAGAACTTAACCAAGTACTACATTTCGCAAGCGTCCAATTGCAAGAACATAAATTGTTTTGAAAAGTTTTCATTGAAAGACCTGAAGTCTAACTAAATATAATTCGCTCGGCAAAACATTGATTACTTCCAGCATCGCACCATTTTTAGAGAAACAGTACACCTGTCTCGGGTAGGCAATACAAATGCTTTTTGTCACGGACAATAATAATAGGTTTTTTTGATAGCAGGTAGAATTCCTCGTGAAGTTCGTCCAGGGAAGTACTGCCACCTCACCTATTTCTGCCGCCAAGCAGTAATGTGAACATTACTGCGTTCCGGTTTCGAAGGGTAGAGGTGCTGGTGAAACTACAGACACATGGGACTTGTCAACTTATGTCTCAAGATGACGGGCGCAGTGGCAGTGCCTCTCAGATCTTTGCGATTTAAAGCTTCGAGTGGCACTGCAACTGTTTTGGACAGGCGTGTAGCTTACCATCACGATTTCTTCGTCCCGTTATTTTGCATTATAGAAAAATAGATACACACCGTACTGCATTTATTTGATCTCGGTAGTAAGTTGGTTAAAACCAGCTAACAGGTAGAGAAAAAGAAAGCAAAACAGATAATAATAACCCTGTATCGCAGGTGTACCTGTAAAAGTAGCAAACAAAAATATCACAGCACAAAAAGAATCTTCTTGTACACTCGATGCCCAATGACACCTTACCTTCAAGCCGACCTTTTGGTTCTGAATTAAAACGAATTGTTTAAAAAGTTTCTTATCACTAGTGATGTAAGGCTCACAGGTGAAAAGTTTTGTTTAATACTTTTCATTACACATATGTACTCAGAACTAAATGGTTTAGAAGGCATCGACTGTACGTAAACCGTACAACATATTAACATAAATTGTTTATGGAAATCTAATTTTCTTACTAATTATTACCAAACGCTAGAACTTTAAAATTTGAACGACACTTTCTGAATGCCTTAGTCACACCCACCTTTAGATATAGGATGATCGGCGAGAGTGTACATTCGCATGGCAATAGTGAAGTCCTCCAGGTTGTTGAGGAACTGGCAGAAAGTTTTAAACTCCTCGAAGGTGATCCCGCGCTCGTCCTTCACGCGGTCCAGCAACCGATCGAGATACATGTCGTACTCGTCCGTGTCGAGGTACGTGTAGCGGAGAAGAATCTTCGCGAAGTCTACTTCGGAGATCGTTTCGTGGCCTGGAATGAATGAATGAATGGATGAATGATATGTATTTGCCTAAATACGTGAGACATTAACACTACCAACCTTCAAGTAAAAATGTTTTCTGTGGCTGTTTGAAAAGCAATCTAGCACGCAGGCTTTATGAAGTAGCTTGTATTTGTGTATGTTTGGTATTAAAATTACTTATTTATTACTCAAATGATTTTTTCTTTGTCTAATTGTTGCTTGTGACGGGGCGTGGTAATTAGCATAGTCCTCAGATGTTGAGCGATGAACCCTTTTGACACGCTTTATTTAAACTTTAATTTTTTTTATAATCATCAATACAAAGATCGAATATTTAGAAAAAATTCCTTCGATCCGGCCGGATTCGAACCGACGTCTCCTAGCCAACCGTGCCAGACGCTATGCCAACTAAGCCACGGAACGAACCACCTCACGAGATTTTCTATGTCGTGTCTTTGTATTTGGTTATCAACGACTTTTTAGCCGTAGCGCCATCTATGAAAATATTTTAGTTTAATTTTTTTTAGGAATTCATGTATTTTGCATGTTAAATAAAACCTATTTTATTTCTTTTTTTAAAATACGGATTACAAAAGGTATTACTATATATACATAATAATATACACATATATAATATATATACGAACTAAAGTAACGGGACGAAAAAATTGGACGTTTTTTGGTAAGCGATAATCTATAACATTTACAGTGCTACTCAGATCTTTAATTCGCAAAGATCTGCCCCGTCACCTTGAGACTTAAAATTTACAAGTCCCATGCGTGCTTTCTATGCAGAACACACAGACCAGAACAACTTTTGAAAAGTTAATTTTCTATATAGGTCTAACCGCAAAGATGCAAATTGCCGGGTCACAAGTCGTGCGCCTGCTGGTAAGCGACACGCCTGTCCATAACAGTTGCAGCGCTGCCGTCCGCTAACTAAAACGCGGCTAAGTGACAAAATATTTTTTTGAGATGTCATGAAAAACCACAACCTAGTTTTAAAATATTGACATTGTTTGATGATATTTCAGCTATGCATCGTTGGGATAAGTTTCGATAAGTTGAACACAAAGATCATTATCAGCATCATCGCATAATCCTCGCAGACCTGTGTCCAGTAGTGAGACGTACTATGGATTGACGATACCCTTGTATTAATATACGATAAACCTCAACTAACATTGGTTTAAAAACAAATATATATTACCTTTGGCGAATTCTTGAAATTCCAGCTCCAGGACCTCTGTCTGCAGGTTTTCCATGAACAGCTTGAACCCTTCGAACCTGAGGTCGTTCGTACCTTTTTTCCCGAAGAAGTGCACCTGTGCAACGAGCATGGTTGAGATTATATACTTTTAAAACATGTCGTACATATGTCATGTTCAGTTATGGAAATTGGAAACGACGCACGGTACCACAAACACAGACCCGGGACAATATAGAAAAGTGAGTTTATCTACATTGACTTGGCCGGGTATAGAACCCAGGAGCCCAGTTTTACAAGCCACTCGGCCACTGAGGTCGTGAGATTTTTGGTGAAATAAATCCACTAGTTTTGTTATGATTTACTGTATGAAGAAGGTTCTAAAATCTCTTACTAGATTCCAGTAGCGGCGCAGAGCGTCGAGAAATACAGTAGGAAAATGTAACAGAAACACAGGAGAATTTCGACAACTAGATAACTTGTAGCTCAGTTGGTAAGAGCAATACTACGGTGCAGCATAATATAAATAAAATAATAAAATTAATTGACTAATAATTAATTACATTAGATTAAAACTTCGATCTGTCTGTCTCGAGACACAGCTAATGCCATCAGGGTTTCGTATATTTTATTAATTATTCATAAATAAATAAAATTACATTAGAAATGTAACAAATTACCCTGCTGGGTACGGATTTCTTCTAAGGAGAAGGAAGAACCGTAGGTTCCAGAAATTTTTGGCTCACCGTCCACATAGGCAAGATAAAGAAATTTCAACACCCACCATCACAAAAAATAATAGAAAATATGTATTTTTATATTAACACAAAAAATGACAAGGAAATAAAAATTTGGAGTGTAGTTCATGTAGATAATTTAGGTGTTTCTTTCAAAGGCAAGTAGCACCCCCTGGAATGCAGCACCGACCTCCTAGAACTCCTCAGTGCCCAAACGGGGAGCGGTAGGGACCACTTTGAGAAACTACGGTTTAGACCATAGACCGCCACCACGGCTTAATGCTTGTGGGCTTTCACACACAGGTTTACACGCAGGTTTCATGAACACACGCATTACATCCCAACTGGTACATGCCATTAGAGAAGTTACTTTTTCGAACTACTGTCTATTATGTTCTAATAACAAATATTTTAAACCTGTAGCATGGTATCAACGTTGTGCCTCCTCTGCAAGCCTTGTTCGTCGTTTACGTAGGTGTCCTGCGGTCTTCCATCTGCGGCCTCCGCGCTCCCCTCGCTTATACCCCTCTTGCCCTTCCAGGCAAAGCTGAAGATTTTTTCCATCTAAAACGTGACATGTATTGTAGCGACCAATGAAAGCGAAATTTTAGAGACAAAATATTACTTTACAAACACAAAATGAATTGCTTATTAAAATTCACGTCATAACTTGTAATACTGATAGGTGCAAAAGTACCTATAGTGCCACACCGCGCCTTTACCACGAGTTTATAGTGAGTTTCTGCTAGCGAAAGCGTCCGCATAAAATACTACACAATTCTGTGTAATTGTCGCGAATTATGTCGCGATTTAGTATAAGTTTTGTAATATCAAGC